TGGTCAATAACACGACGGGTGTGTTGTGGAACATTTCTCCGCCTTTGAAACATCCTCATTGTAAAACACGTAGCCAAACTTCCTTGACCTTTTCCACTGGCCCGACTCAGGGGAGGAGGGAAATCTGGTTGGAATAAGTGAATATAATCTTATCAGACCTCAGGTGAGGCGCACACAAAGGTCTCGGTTCTAAGCACAGCCAGTCTACACATGCACCACACACACACACACACACACACTACCTAAAGCCCTCCATCTCAATAGCCTTATCTGTGATGTGCAACTGATGAACTCCTGCGAGTTTTGCCTGTGGATGAACTGCTGGAGGGACAGGGGGCTCGGTCCGTTTCTCTCAAGCTGGTAGATAAGTGCCGTCTGTCAGATTGATTGACGTTTCAAGAGACGGGACAGGCTCTGCCATGGCGGAGGGCCTGCACCTTCCAGCCACACACGCTCTCCCTGCCTTTTTCCCAAGACTGGCTTCAAATGCAAAACAATCTGCAGACATCAGGAAGGACAACACAATCCGCTTGGCAACGATTTGAATATTGACGCAATTAGCTTTCAGACACGAAAAGCCGGTGGAAGGGATGCACTGGTAATTGGGATTCAAGAAACAGGCCTTGACTCAGTGGCTACTGTCAAAGGAACAGCGTTATGTAAAATTGACTCTTTTGAGCTTTACATCATGCGGCTTTATTATTCCCTCGTAGAAAAACATACAAGGAGTGTTACTTTGACCTTTTTCATGCACGTTTGAAAAATACTGTAATCTCCTGTGACAACCTGTGGAAAACGCCTGAATCGTTACTTGCTTCTCCACTGTTAGCACTTTTAGCAGCACGTTCACGAGATAGATTGATTGACAGCGCTGAGCCCCGCCTCCTGGCTCTAATTGGTTGTTTTCAGTCAGGAGCGTTTCTTCAGTAGCTCAGGGAGGAGGAGATCCATCTTTTCACAGATTATACGACTCCTGGCAAACTGTGAACAAACGTTCAAAAACACATATCCTTTAAAAAAGTTACATGCTTTAAGGGGAAAAAACACTATGACAGTGTTTTTTTGTTGTTGTTGTTGTTGTTTTTTAGCACTTTAGAATAATTTTTGAAAACAACTTTACAACCTTTAACTGAGACCTTTGTATATTTTGATCCTGATAATTGGCCCGTGCCTTTCTGGCACATAAAAGTCAGGGTCAGTGGAGATGAAGCTGGGAGCGCCTCATCAATAATATTGATTTAAGACATGACATGATTCAGTCAAACATCATAATCCTGTGTTTTTAGCAAAAAAATAAATAAATAAATGAACTACGATAAGACAAAGTAGATGGAATAGGCAGTGCAAAGAGTAATTATTTACAGATTTGAATAAATAAACAAAGTCTTTCACAAACATTGTCTCACACTTCCAGCACATCCTTCATAACACCTGGCTTGCGAGAGTAATGAACCCAACTGGGAATCGGCGGCGGCGCAATATTAAAAACCTGCCATGCAGCATGTGCGCTTATCGCTCTCCTAATAAGGCGGCAACAGTGAGCCGCAGAATGCATTTTCTTTTCCATTTCAGAAACAAAAACTCATAAATAAATAAGTTGTCCTTTCACAGCGGGGGCTTTGCATTACCTTCTAAATGGAAGAAATGGTAAATTTACTGACACATGCAGCAGTAAACAAAAACTAGTTGCACGTTATAACAAGCAGAGCGAGGACTGTAAAATAGCTTGAAATTTGATAACGGAAAGACTGAAATAATGAGAAAGAAATGGTTCAAATTGAACCACGTGGTTATAAGAATAGTGCGTAAATCAAGTTACCAAAATATTCCCCTCACACCTTTGACAAAAATATTTTTTTATTTGAGAATACCACAAGTCGGTCCACATTGTTGCAGCGAGGCAAAGTATCCTGAGTTGTAGATTTTTAATATTATCTTGGTTTTCAAGTTATTGCAGAAGAAAATATAATTAGTTGCTCCAAACAGACCAGGAAGTACCAAAAAGTATTCAAACATTGAAGATATTACACAAAACAAACCTTTGCCTCAGATTTTTGTTACGTTTTATTCACAGAAGTCCTTTGAATCGATGGTTCAAATCTGCTAAAGTCAGAAGCAATGAAATGACAAGTGGGTGTTGCTGAGCTAAAATTAGCCTTGTAGCGCACCAGGGCACAGTGTCAGGCTCCTTAACCCTTTTCAGTTTCCGTCTTAATTTCTTATTTCAGCAGCTTTTTTGCACAAACTTTTGATTGAGAGGAACTCCTAAATGTTACAAACCTCTAAAGTTAGCATGCGGCGTAACAAAACTCAACTTATTTGTAACAATGATTCCTGGTGCTTAATATTATACCATTGACATCCTCTCCTATGAGGCCACTTTTGTACGAAAGTGTTTGCAGGTTGCGTCTGTTATCGATTATGGTTTGATGTGATGTACTAGAAGTTCAGAGAACACAGAGATAATGGCAACTTAATACATTATTCATTCAACAAACGGAGTCCTCCGCACTGACAGGAGCCACTGGTGTAGCAGTCAGCCATCTTGGTTTGAGTGAGTTCAGATTACGATTTTCGTATTCCGCCTTAATCCTCTTCTGACCCAACATGGCTGCCAAGCAAGGAGTTCCATTTAAGATCACTTTAAAATTACAAGCCCCTTCCTTCTTTGGTTCACTTTGTCTTTGTGGTTTGTTTCCCACTGTGAGGAAAAGGCACCAGGATTCTCTTGCAAGTGCACTAAGACCCAACAGGACAAATGAGCTTTCACATCTGAAACAAATACTGGCTGCGTTTCCGTTGGCCAGAAAATCACACAAATTAGAATCACAAAAATAAATTCGCTAAACGGACACGCGGCAATTTTGTGAGCCGTCGAATTTTGTGATTGAAAAAAAGATTTTGAGCTAGGATGAGGACGCTTATGGAAATTAGCGCATTTCACATAAAACTGCAATGGGAGCAGATCGACGACCGGACGTCACCGCTGGTGGAAAAGACGAAGAAGACGACAGGAAACTGGTGGCGGTAGCTCTGATTTATTTAGACAACTTACAGTTTGAAATAAAAATGATAATTAAAAAAAAAAACAAATTTTAAACCTACGACCACTTTGTTCAGTTTCTGTCAGTAAGGAAGCATCTCCAGGTAGTTATAAAAACCATAAAACAGGAGTTGAGGCAGGTTAACATAACTTGACACAATCTGAAAAGCAACCATTGTTTGGTGACTTAGAAGCTCCCCTGTTGATCTGAATCACGATACTATCACTTATCGAAGAAATTATTAATGTGATTAAAATGGGATGTTCATTTAATTCTCTCAAGCAGGAATTAGTCTTGCTGTGAGCGAGTGAACCGCTCTCAAGAACTGATCTGGAGAAGCTAAACTTTGGTATCAGCTTCCTCGCTTTGTGAGAGTGAAAGACAGAAGAGAGAATATTTTTTCAGACTTATCTGATGAACTAAGAAGTGGTGACCTAAATGTTGTTCCTCTCTTAATTCCCATGTGAACTCGACGGGTGTTTCCTGTTTACTTGTGAGGCAGACGCCATCAGTGAGACGACGCGCCTTGTGAGGACTTTAAACTTTTTTCGCGGTGTGTCAAAAGTGACTCCACAAAGTTATATGGGTTTTTGGTTTGAAACGAGTTTGGGAAATTGCTGAAATTGTAGCTTTTTTTATTTTTTATTTTTTTTCCCTCTTTTGTCTTTAAAGACGTTCGAGCTCGTTCGACGAGCTACCAACACTGATTTTAATATCCGTGTTAAAGTAAGACAACTGAGACTTGTTTTCTGTGTTTCTTAATTTAAAAATCTAAAGCAAGAAATTACTGATTTGTTAATAATCAATGGCTGCATATTTCTGCGCTCTGGAATATAATTGTGTTTCCATCCGTTTTGTAAAAAATGTAATTCTTTTGCAGTGAGACAGCGGCTATGATTGATTGCTGTTGAATTTTTATGCAACCTTACTAAAGACACGGGTAAAAGATTAAAACTCAATGTTTTTATTATTATTTAATATGCATATTATTACACACTGGATCTGGGTTCCTCATGAAGCCACAATAACGTCGAGGAAAACAGCCTCTCACTAGAGTCTCTGTGTCTTTTCTGTGGGTAGCCTGCTTTTTTCTTTCCCTTTTCCTGTTTTTATTTTGATTTTTTTTTTAGCTGTAAGCGTTCGGTTAATTAAGATTGACTGTGTGTAGCCATGGGTTTCTCTGTGGTGTGGCTCTGTGATGCAGTGTGGAGTTGCGACCTGCGCGCTGGCGCTCCCCGCCTCGTCCCTCTGGGACCAGGAACGGGCTGCATCACTCTGAGGCCTTTAGCGAGACTGATGAGGCAGAGAGGATGCAGAACCTTGAACTGCAGTTTCTCATTCTGATATTTAGACGAAATCATTCAACGGAATCTCTCTTTTTATTATTATTATTATTTCCTAGCGTAAGAGTAGGTAATAATGTAAAAAAAGAAAACAAATACATTTAATATTTTATACATGACAGAGTTTCCTTTGACTCGTGCAGGAGGATTGTGCTGAGCTTGGGAAGGAACGGAGGTGGGTCCTTGTGACAGGCAAAGCTCAAATCTTTCCACCCAATTCTCAAGTGAAGTACAAGTCCTAAGTGAGAAATTTTAAGTCTTAAACAACACATTTGATCAACTGTGAATTGAATTAATATTTGACATGATTTTGTTTGCCAGAACAACAGGAGGAAGTACATTTCAAAAACGTTAAAAAGAGTCCTGGATTTGCTTTAGACGGTAAATATTACCCAGTAAACTGAGAAGCTGATTAAAGTGGAAATAAAATATATTTCACTCGGGTGAATTTTTGGCTTCTGTTTGGATTTCTTTATTGCTTTATTATATCTTGTCGTTTTTGTTCATGCTTCATTTGGTTCAGCTATTCTTAATGTTTGTGATGTTTTTGGGGATTTGTTCTGTTCAATTTAATATTCATTTGTGTTACTGTGTGTTTTTCTTCCTCCCTTACCTTTCCCCTTTGTTTTTGTAAGGAGCTGTTTCTCATCTCCCTTTGTGCCCTACTTAGTCCCTCCTCCAGCTTTTGTCATTTCCACTCCCTCCTCTGTAACAAAACAACAACATTTTTTTAATGTATTTTACAAAATAAATGAAAATATACATATTTATAATGAGCTGCAACAATGCAAACCTGATTTAAAGAGCTGGCAAATCATAAATGTTGAGGCTCAAGTACAAAACCTTGGGGAACATCAAGATTAGCATCAACCACTTCAAAATAAACACAAAATAAATAAAAAATTGCTTGATTACTTTATTACCTGTATGAAATATTTTAAGTGTTAAGCAATTTTCAACAAAAAATTGAATATCTTTTTCTCCATCCCTTCGAAGATATAAAATATTCCTAATTAGATCGAATTAACTAATAAATAATCCTCTCAGATTTGATGTTCTGGGAAACATTAAGCAGAGAGCATGCCTTGTCTCGAGCCTGTTTAAGAGTCTCTTGAGGAGACCGAAGGCACAATTTGAAACGAAATGACATAAACACATGACGCTAAATAAATGTGAGCGCACCGTTACGCAAAGGGCTGAAATGACTTAGTGGGTAGCAGCGGCCACACGTTTTACTGGTCACTTCCCAGCCAAAAGTGCCTTTGTGTGCAGCACTGCCTGTTCTCGCAACGGCTCCCCGGGGCGATTGCTGTAAACAAGAATATGCTCTTATGGAGGAACGTGGATGAAAGAGAAAGATGAAAGAGAAGGAATTCCTGCAAGGAGGTCAGCTGAAGTTTTGCCGTCCTGTTGCGTACTGTGACACGTTTGAATATTAATAACGACAGAGGTCAACTAAGGTAGCAAAGCCGGCGGGGGGGGCCTTTGTTTTTGTTTGTTTTTTTCTTCTTTTTTAACTGCGAAACACACATCAAACACCAGACAAAGAAGCAAACTTGGGAATAGACTAAAAGTTTTTGGTTTCTCAGAAAAGGTTGCCTAAGATTCATGTTTATAGTGCAGCTCAGCGTATAGTTTAAAGAAAAAGGTGGTGGATGGTCAAACTTTTTGCACTTTGTCGTGTTGCAAGCACATACTGAGATTGGTTTACTGAGACCCAGAGAAAATACACACCGATGATACAGTTACAGATGAGTTTAAACCGGGGTAAAGTTTTAAAGCAGTGTGTAAAGCTTTGGACGTCACAAGGAACTGGTCTCAGTCCGTCTTCTGAAAATGGAAAGACTGGGGAAGACCTGTCAACCCGATTGACAGGTTGTCCGCCGTTAACCAGCCATGAAGTCCAGCATCAATCCAGGTGAATCTGTTCAGAGCCAAAAGTTGTACATTTCACAATTCTGGCCCGACAACAGTCAGAACTGCCCTACAAAAGCCATAAGCAAACATGGCTTTTTGGGGTTTGTGGCAACTTTTTCAGATGAAAAATTCAAGCCAAGCACACAAGTTCAATCGAGATACATGGCGGCAACAGAATCTCGGAGGCTGGCCAGAGTCAACTCTGCTAGAGGCGTCAAAAGAAGTGGGTAGAGGTCCACTTTCTATCAGGAAACAAGACCAAGCACACTCCCAGGTGTTGAAGCGGATCTCCACTCTTCTCTGCTCTTTTTGGGATCCCACACATCAATATTTTTATCAGAAGGTGCATAAAATGGGTTTTCTGTATTGGCCAGATCTTTAATTTTACTCAACTGGAAACGCAACTTGCCTCCCATCTAACAGCCGATGAGTCAAGGAAGTCACATTTCGCCTGACGTTGGAGAGGCTGAGGTTTTCTCCTCATGGTTCTCCGAGGGAACAGAACCTGGAACCAGCTGGGATCCAGACACAAAAGACTTTACACCTGACGCAAGACATCCGAGTCGGTGATAATGGCGTTGTTTTGTTTCTTTTTGTTTTCACTTGTCCAGTATTCTGGTTGACCGACTGACCTGGTATTAAAAACATGAGCTTTCTGGGATTCGTGTTGCCCCCATATTTGCTCAACAGACACTTTATGAATAAAGAAAAACATACAACTGGAACTTCCATGTAAGGGTTTAGCTGTGTTAAAGACGTCCAAACAAGCTCAAAACCTAAATCCAACTTGATGGCTAGAGACTCTCTTTAACTGAATTTGAGGTTGTTGTTTTTTTTTAACAAAAAAAAGTAGGTAATAATTCTGGACATAACGCAGCATAGAGTAAGAATAGCTTTGCGAGGTATTTGAGATGTGTTAAGACCATCTTCTCCAGCTCTCTGCTGTACGCCGAGTCAGCAGGGTGAAGGCGTTTGATGCCGGGAGACTGATTATGCTGATGTGGCAAACAGAGCCTTGGACGGTGTGGCGGTATGGAAGACGCCACAGAGGCTATTCGGTGATGGGGTCAAAAGCTATCAGGCCTTGTGTGACACTCTGCAGACAGAACCAGAGCAGCCCTGAGCCACAGACTGAGATGACAGGAAACCGGGTCAGGACTAATCAACGTCGGCTGGCGCAACATCCTCCCGGATTAACAGCAAAGTCAGCTTTGCATGATGTTAAGAGAAATAACACCGGTTGCTATGTTACCTTTTATTTCTCAATCACTTCGGTCAGCAGCTTTTCCAGTTCATTTCCACAATACGGGTTGTTTGTTTGTGCTAAGCAAGAGTTAAAGACAAAAGTGTGCATTAATAACTGGCGCATCTGGAGCCATTTCGTTTCCCGCGATAAGCTCTGGATTTTGTTTGTGTGGGGGGCGAAAAAAAATAAAAATAACAGCCACAATTACAAGCATTAACAGATCCTATGGGGTCCGCTCTGTTGTCACAAGAACAGGCGGCGTTTGGTGTTTTATGCGTGCTGTTTGAGAAAGCTGACGCAATTCCCCGCTCTGCTGTGATGTCACTGATGCTAACAATCTGGCTTTCATCTTTTTCAGCTTCACTGCATGAGCAGCTGCAGCTGGATGGCTGCTTCGCTCTCCCTCCCTCTGTCTCTCCGTCTCTCTCTAAGCCTGCCTCATTTTGTTCGGCGAGGCAATGTGCCGATTTTTACATATCCTCCGGGCCCGTATAAAAGAAACCTAATTTGACGAAACAATGTCAAATTCTCCAGTGACATGTACCAACCGTGGACCTGCTAGATCTGATCAATTATGAAACAAGTAACATCAGTCATTGACTCTCAATACCCGCTTGTCCAAGCACATTTTCCCAGCTGTCTGTCTGAGCCCTTCCAAATCAAAGCCCTCTCCTATGAGCTTTGACACAATCTGGCTTTGTCTCGCGAAAAAGGAAGCAGTCTTCTTGGACTTTTTTTGTTTTTGTTTTACTCGACAGTGAGGCCATTTAACATAAGATGTTGTGCAAATGTGGCTGAATCGTAAGACAATTGACGGAGAAGATCAACAATAGCTGTAAAAAGAAATTTCAAAAGATGTGAGCTGCGTGATTTGTGTTTTCGATAATGGATCAGTAGCAAAGAGATAGACGAGATGGATATGGAAACGATACAAACACAAACTGAGCAGCATCGTTTTTAAACAAGGTGTGTACGTCTGCGCACAGGAAACGCTGTTTGCTGTTTGTTTACAAGAGGACGTGATCATTAGCCCAGAGTGCGTGCAACACATAGTTCTTCAGCCTTTTCATCACTTTAAATTGCCACGGACTCCTAACAAATCTGCAAACATCACAGCGCCGTTGGCGGTGTAATCCCACTTGAAAAGAAGGCAATAATTTTCAAAGGCGTTCTCTGTGTTTAAATGGCCTCCGTCGGAAAACTCATCACATCTCCAGAAGATGAGCCGAGTCGTGGTTTGAAAGCATTGGCTAACATTTCTATAACGGTAATAACTCAGTTGACTCTGGGAACTGATAATTAAATGCTGCTCTTGTTATCATGACTGTGTTGTTGAGCCAGTAAGAGTGAAGCACAAATATCCCCCTAAGTTTTTGTTTGAAGGCTTGTGCTACTGTTGGAGTATTGCAGTGTTTTCATGATATAGAAAACATTTGATCTCAATCATATGTTGATAAAAATGACCAAGATTTATTTCCTATTGCTAACAGTAGGTAACAAATTAAGGAGGTGATTAGTTATGTTTTGCTAGGTATCAATACCAGCCTTCCTCAATGAGGCGTTCAGGGTACGAGAAAAGAAACCTCTCTTTTAGGGTGGTCTTATCAACGCAGCGAGTGTGAAACAGACGGGTTTGTAGCTTGCAAGGCAGAGTGCTGTGTTTGAAAGCTGCACTCATGTGCAACGGAGCCAGTTAAAGATGACTGCAAGATTTCCACATCTGCTAGATAAAAATACCACTCAGATTATTATTATTATTTTTTTTTACCCCCACTCTGCAAAATGACACAGTGCGCCAACACTGCTCTGAAATCTCATTTAAGTCTGACACAAATCATGAGTAACAGCCGGAATCCCATCTCCATTTGCAGAGCAGAGTTTTGACTGAAGAAGCAAAAGCAGATGATTTTTTTTCTTCTTTTTTTCCCCCCTGTGTGCTAAATTTGAAACTTAGCTCCGCTGATCGCGGCTCGTGGTGTTGGTCGGAGGTCTGCACACACACTCATCGTTGACACAAACGACATATTAACAAAAGGATTTAAAAATGAATCAACCGGGTTTTTTTTTTTTCCTCCTCTGAATTAAATTTTTCTCTTCTTGCTCGCCTGGCGGTGTTGAGTGGTGTTGCTGGATCTTTCCCTCTGTTTTGCATCTCTCAAATACATTTATGTTTAATATAAAGACCTCGTGTCGGACACTTTCAGCCACTTCTTGCTGGTGTTTCCATTGGACAATCCACAGCACAACTCTTTTCCTCTTAGCTCTTCACCTACAAACTGGTCGAGCTGGTATTTAATTCAGCTGCCAGTTGAGACACTGAACTGTGTTTGTCTCAAAGTTCACTCTCGGATGTTTGCTTTCTGGTGGTGTATGTCAGGGCCTCTCGCTCCTTTTTGAGCTCCTGTTAAATTCAGCTTGTGTTGCTTGACAGCATCTTGAGAAAGTTCAGGTTCCCTTCCTATTTATGTCCTTATGTGGTTCTGTTTTGAAAGCACAGTGGTAGACTGATGGGCCTTTACAAGAAACACATTTATTTCTGGACC